AGGGATTGAGAAACAATTGCCTGTAGACTGTGATGCTTTGGACTCCCTCCTTTCCCCTGTAACAAGGCAACTCATCACTGGTGCTCTAGTCATGTAGTGGAGTGTCTCCAAGGCTTCTTGCCCCCTCTTCTACACATCGCTGGAGCACCAGCCCATTTTGTCCTGCTGCAGGAGGCAGGGGACCCTGACTGGCCTGGGCTGCATCCTGCGCTGTGTGCTCTGTGGCATAAAGTTCATCTGCATAGCCCGCAGTGGACCCAGTATCAGTTGCAGCGCCCACATTGATGAGCCAGTGTGCACTTATAGGGCACTCCTAGCGCTCACCAGCTTGCAGCTCCTGAACCCTGCTCCAGGGTAGGCAGATGTGCAGAGGGCTCTTCAGTATAAAGCTGCACAGTTTGCAAAGCATGTAGGTGTCTAACCAGTAGGCTTTTTTACAGTTACATGCTTACAGTTTAACCACCGCTTACATCTCTAATATATATTCTTTGGCATAATTCTGGGAAGTGTCCCAGGTAATCAGACCCCTGTCCCATCCTGCACAGACCCTGCACACCAACACCATCTTAGACCCTGAACCTCCACCCCCTTCCCACTCATCTGTAAACCTGTCTGCCTTCCTTAGCTCCCCAAGTTCAGCCACCATCTTCTCCAAAGCCCATGGAAGGAGCTCCTTGCACCTGCACGAAGGCCAGGCAATAAGACAGTTGGTGCAATGAATAGCACAGCCTCCATTCTTGTTGATGGGCTTAGCCACACATTCTCTTTTTTTCATTCATAGGGCTGTTACAGGAACACTGGACTACCACTCTGAAACATACAAATTATTCACAAGCTTTGGGTGTGGGTGTGCCTGTCTCATGGTCGAGTGAAAAAGGTGCCACATTCCTCCTCTCTGAGTAGTTTCTGTTGTTTGTTGTGAAGAAACTAACTTTGGAATCCTTCATTGAATATGTAGTCATTGGAAATTTTCACCAATGCATAGTTGGGATACTGTGTATGGGAACTTGTAATGCCAGGTCTTTAGTGCTCAATCAGACGCCTGTCTGCTAAACACAAGGTGTGATGGATTTCTTTATTGTAAGTAGTGAAAAAGCATTGTGAATATGGACTCCTTTAGAATCATCAATTAACACCTTTCCATTCTAAAAGATCTTTCACAGTCTGGACTTGTCCTCTGTGTATCCATATCTTTTTTTATAAAGCCAGCTCATTAATTTCCCAAGACATTTTTTACAAATCATGAACAGTCCCTGGTTTCAGATCTCAGTCACCTGCCCCTGTTTATTGTTTCGTAAAATCTTCTTTGAAAAATCTGTAGGTGCAGGTGAACTGGAGGCCTGGCTGGGGATGGGCCACCGTATGTTTGAGGCATGGGGGTCCAAGTTCAGCCTCCTACAATGACTGTGTGGCATTATAGCATCCCCACCATCTGTGGATAAAACTGCTGTGTTTTGAAAAAGGACATCATTCACTAAGAATTCCAAGTTCATGTATTCCGTGGCTAAGTTATCCAAAATTCAAAACTTGTGCGTATCATATCTGTGGTGGGGAAAAAAAAAGTTGGTTCACTATCTGTGCAGAAGGAAAAATGCTTGTTTTGGAAAACATCTTGAAACTACCACCAAAAAAAAGTTTGTTTTTAGAGATCAGTTTATACTAATAAAGCTTTTCAAATTAGATCAATACTTCTGTTTGTTTGTATCCATGTCACAGCCCCCGACTCAGTGTGTGTTAGCCCAGGGGGAGCCGCATGCGGCTCTTCAAAGAAAGAATTGCAGCTCCTGCACCCACACCTGCAGCTTGCAGCTCGCCGACCCTCCCCTTTTTCAAAAGAACCCATACTCCTCATTTTTTCAGGAATACAGGTTCTTTCAAAAAAGTGGGTTTTTTTCAAAAACCATGGTCTAGAATGCGGTTTCACTTTAGAAAACCCCTTTTTCAAAACACTGATGAGTCTAATGAAGCATGAGATTTGTAAATCCGCGCTTCTTTTGCATTTTTGATCAGGCTCATTTACATTCCTCTTTCGGAAGCGGAATGTAGTTTAGACATAGTGTTAGAGGACAATTTATGACCATGTATATTGGGGTGGACATCTCTGAGTATCATATATATAGTAGCCCAGTGTCTGTGAGTCTGTAACGCTGACGTACATGGTCATGCCCCCTGGCCGTGTATGTCAGCGCCCCGCCCCCCCTTCCCTTCCCTCCGTGGTGGCTCGGCCGAGCACTGCACTGCTGACCTGGGCTGCTGCTTGCTTCCCTGCCACGGCCCAGCTGAGTGGCTCAGCACTCGGCCGCGCCGCCATTGGGAG